TGACAGAAAAGTCAGTAAAAGTTCAATATAACAAACGATGCCAATTTTGTAAATATTCCCACTAACTAATATGCTTACCATCCGAATATTGGCAACCATTTCAGTGATTGCTTTAGAATAATTTTGATAGCATCATGCGCATTTGCGAAGTATGCGAAACACCTAAACGCGTCGAACAAAAAAGAGTGGGTTAAATTCATCAGACTAAGAGGCTTTTAACCGTCAGTCCCCCAATATACGCATGGAGAGATAGCTCACCAGATGTATATCCAGTCTGCGTAAATCTAAACAGTTTGAAAACATAATTTCATTAACATGCAGATAAAGTTAGCTCAGACACTAATATCTAGAATAAAATTCGCCATTTTCGTAATATTTGACTCCCACCCGTCACCCGCAGCAAACCTGATGATTCGCAATCAAAATAATTCTTTCGGGCATGTCTAAGAACAACTGTCCATTATTTTTCCAATCTTTCTTAACGACGTCTTTTGCGGATTCATCTGTTGTAACAACAAACACGCTTGGCGCAAAAAATTGTGTAATAGCAACAAGAAGTACCCCAAAGCATTTTTGTGTTTGTTGAATGTAATCATGATAAAGAGCCTTAGAGAAGGGATACAGCAAGAGACCAAGGAATTGGGATAGATTTATCATTACTGACTGGCCAGCTGGAAGATATTCAAACATTTACACAAAAGCGGGAATAGAAGAGGCAGGGTTAGAGAGATAAAGAATAACGATAACAGCGAAGAAGGTGAACTCATGGACGCGAGAAATGAAAGCATGTTGCAGGAGTCAAACTTGTGAGAAATAAATTGTTTACCATAGAACACCACAAATACAGCGGTGCGTATACACCACTCAATGAAGCTTTGATGTTCGTCTTGAGCTACGCCGCGAGGATCTTTTTGCGCCATTGTATGAGGAACTATATAAAACTGAATTATTCTTAAATCACGAAGTGTACTCCCTCCACTTTACAAGAATGTGATATATTAGTGTATACTGACTATCTAAAGCTAAGAGGTTTTGATTTACAGAAAACTCTCAAGAGCACCTTTTGTTAAAGGCATGTTGACATTACAGATACACATCCCCCTTTTTCGCCAATGTCAAGTTAGTCACATGTGGTCACTAAAATTATCATTTTCTTACTATAGTTGGTTTGTGTGAACTGGGTACTAGAATGAAATGTTGGTCTATGCTCACATGATTAACCTTAAATGGCTGTGACTCGGGGATTTTTAATGCGTTATAAATAGCGTACATGATGTGGGATTGTCTGTATATTTTGGGGGTAATTTCAGTTAACTATGTCTTTCACCTGCACTGTAATTTGGACCATGCGCAGTCACTATTACAACTCACAGCCTGTAGACCGCATTTTTATACACTCGATAATGTGGCGCTATTGATATTACAGAAAAACTCATGTCCATTAAATAAAGTTCTATGTAGCAATTCTGGGCGCATACGCCGTAGTAAGGACGATAACGATAATATGCAGATTGTAAATGAGACCGCATTTAGTAAAATTATGTGATACAATTCCCACAACAACAGGTATCAAAACCGGTGGCAAATTCGAGATACTGCGGGGATATGGAGATCGGAGTAATTATTTATATTTATTATTTTTATTTTATGGTGTTTAACGTTAAACAGTGAAAATCTAAAAATTTAATAACCTGACACTTAAGACGTGTGATCGGTGCTAACTTCTAACGATATTAAGTAGCAATGGCGTAGTTACCCCATTATATTAACAATCGTACTAACGACAATACTAGCAGCTAACCCCTTTCTAGATAACTTGTTCGCTTCAGACTGGTTAGCATTGTTTAATCATAGGGGAAATTGATATCCTAACTGACTTGGGTTAAAATCGTCGTTATGAGCGATAGGCGTCTTATTATTAACGAATAAGCGCTATAACACGTCGAAGTCATTAGACAAAGTGACTTTCTAAACGGAATCATTGATCAACTTTCCATTATTGTTAATAAAGGTCATAAAACTTATTCTCAATTCGTCTCATGATGTCATTTCTTTCTTCAATGCATCTTATTAATCAAGACAAAGTGTTTTATTCTATGTTACTGTTATTCCGTTATATGCCTGCCCTATTGAGTACACAGCGATGATGACACTATTTCATGGGTTAGCACTCGCTAATCTCGTATTCCCATTATACGATAGTATTAGACGAAGAGGAAAAAGGTGGAAACCTTAAAACTAATGTTGCTCTGCCAGTACTATACTAATAAGCATGCACCTAGGTATCAAATAAAAGCCTATAAATTCACAAAATTAACCAGTTATTTAGGATCGTTCTCCTGTTGATTTTCTCCCAACACACCTGGTTTACTACCCATATTATTGGAACATTCGTGTACGCCAACATTGTGAAATCTTCATATTATCGCTGATTGCAGTGGGCGGTTGGCAAAAGTTTTGCGTCTAATCTGAAATCTTCACATTTGATTATCAAAGAAAGTGGTGTTTAACTACTTCACAGTACCAAAAAAACTAAAACCCGCTTTTTGTGACACAAACAAGCATCCCAAAAACCTCTTTCTGCGACCACTTTTCTTACACGTATATTGAATTGCATGCACTACTGCCAGCATTCAAGAAATCAAGCTGTCCGACTAAGAGGCTACCTTTCGTGTTGATCTATGTATAGTTTAAACAAACATTAATACTCAATTGTCACACAGATGCCCGCAGGCAAATACAACATTATTAGTATACTACAATATTAAATGATCAACGGGGTATGTCATACGCATCAATATCAAGTCATTTTGCTAATTACAAAATTTTTATCGTTTGTCGCAATAAACTTTCTGAATTAATTTATCTCGCTTATTCCTGCACTTATTAACATTATTCCCGTATAAAAGTTTTATTTTACGTAAGAAAATTTTCCCACAGTTAATATTATTAAGAATTTTCGAAACTAATGTTGCGGTTGGCAAAATATTTAGGGGTTATTAGGAGAGCAAACTGTGGGCGGTTTGGGATGTAACTTCGTTTAGCTCAATTACCGCTGTTCTTACTACAATGACACTTTAATTAAGACTAAATATTTGAGCTAATAAGTGACCCTTTTTTTATTTATGCGCGTTTTTTCCTATTCCTTGTACGTAACACTCTTCTGGCGTTCGTATTCAATAAGGAATCCGATAACAACAAGTATTATTCCGCAAAATCGGCAATACTTTGACTTGGTATTTTGACTAGTCACTTATTTATCCTAACTATAATAAAATATCGTTTGCAATAATTAATTGCATACTCGCTTTTCTGCTTAATATTAATTAAGCGTACCGGCTCCAAACGATAACTTTACAGCCTTGGGGACCGTTTTTTATTAACCACACAGCTTAAGTGAGCCGTTTGGGTGTTATCTGGCAGCTAACCAACGATGATAGAAAAAGATATGCAATTTCAAAAAAAAGTCATGAATAAAACTAACATAAACATTCAACATTCAACATGTCGTTTTGATGTAGACAGTTTATATGTTTTTCGACAGAATTTAGGGAACCAACTTGAAAGCCAAAGATTGTAGACTAACAGCTTACTTGAAAATAAAGCAAGAACGCGATAGTTTGATTAACTATTGCCAATTTTGCGCGTACAAATTACATTTACTTAACTGCAGAGAAAGATTTCGCCATGTGACTCGCTTATCTGATTCGGCTTATCCATAATAATAAGCAATATTAATATAATGTTTCCGATTTATACTTACAGTATTTGACAAACTTGTTACTTAATTTGTTAAGATATTTCGACTTTTTTACTATTTGACGCCAAACGTTTAAGAATTTGGCACGGTAAAATACTTATTATTTTATAAGAAAAATTTTACGACACGAATAATATTGTTGCGGTCGGCAGTCTGGGTTGTGGAGAGCGATAATCTTTCGCGTAGGTGTGTGGGGATATTCTAATTTAGCTTCGGCTCACTGTCCTTATTTCGGTGATTGCTTTTGCCACAGAATCGAGGGGAAATTAACCACTCTAATTTAAACAGGGCGATCTTCGATTTGGTATGTCGACTAGTTGGGTAAACATCACCTATTATAAACTAAGCAACAATAATAATTGTTTACAAGATTAATTATAGACTCTCGTCCCGCTATTTGCGTAATCGATCAACGAATATTTTACAACTTAAATAGCCCTTTATACCGAAACCTTGCAGCTTTTATGTGAGCTATTTTTATAGGTATACCCGGTTAATTAATATTTTAATAATGAATAAAAGTAATTCCAGTATTTAATTTTATTTACGTTTGGTAATTTGTGGTTATTATGAAAGTAATCTTTTAAATTTGTGACTCTTTGCATACCAAACTTAAGTGTTTAGTAGTTTTGGATTAAAAAAAAAAGACTATACCATAAAACAACTGTAGATTGTATGGATAATATTTTTGAGATTATGGCAAACAAAGTTTAGTGTTATGACAATGGAAGAGGTTTTCAATACTTAGATCTATATAAATCTGTGTTGGGGTTTTAGCCTAAATTATCGCTAAATTTGAACTATACTTTAAGCAGTTATCGAAAAAAGTATGTTGTACAAGTGATAAAACAATTCACTTTGGAGAGTTAGATATTTTATGGTTTTCGGTCTCATGTTTGATTCGTTCATAGGGAGTCTTACGCAAATAATAATTAACTGGCTGATTAGCGTTTTTTATTACGAACTCGATACTTTAGTTGGCTGAATATGATATCCATTATCAAGTATATTTTGATAAAACTCGCATAGACAGTAGTACGTTTAGCTAGCATCCGTCATAGACTTTATCGAAAATCTCCTAACAAACCCCGGTATATCAAGGTATTTTTTATTTTGTTCCATGAAAATTCTCCGTTCTAAGCAACATCCGTTATATTGAAGATGACGTAAGATAACTGGTACTGCTTGATATATTAATTATCGTCTTACGCTACGTTATTATTGTTATCTACGCAACAGAAGTTATTGTCGATTAATGAAACGCATATCACATCATATGACGCATTGTCACGAGTATTCCGTTAAGGCGAACAATAACTTTAGTGTAACCTTTCAAACCACGTAATTTATCCAATTCGAAATAACTTTTGATATTTATTATGCACAGCGGTTGGATATTCGCATGATAGATCGTATGGTTTATCTCTCGTGTTAAATTTGATGAGACATACCGAATAAGATGTCACCTGATCGCCAAATGGAAGCTGTCCTGACTCGAAAAATCGCAGGCGCAAATTCGTAGTTTAAATGGCATACAGTCATCGTGATGCATATTGGCAAAACAAAACAACTATTAATTTAATAAATTCGTTGTGTATTAAAGAGAATATGCATGATAATGCACGATTTACAACGTACTGGCTATAATAAAAAAGGAGCACCTTCAATATGATTACATGCCATTCATGTATGCAGCATTTGCGAGCTATGATAACTTCAATATCAGTAAGGTATTTTCAGTTTCGTGATTTTTATTTGAGAAACTATTACATAACTATTACTAGTATAAGACACTCTTAGACTACCGGAAACCTTACGGGACAAAACCGGAGGAGTATCTTGAGTTATCTTATTTGCAGTTTGAATATATCCGGGTGTGACCTAATCGATACATCCTG